AACTCAAAAGCAACTTTATTTTTTTTCTTCCGGTGATATGCTACTCGCTTTTCTACTACCAAACATAACTTTTCCGAAACATAAAATTCGCCGTAGATTTTCCATTTTATCTGTAATTCAAGTAGTGAATACAAATCATACTGATATAAAAGCACAATTGACAAAACTGAATCCTGAAACTCGTGTTATTGTAATTCATACTACATCGTACGTACAATAGTATAGATTCATTTATTTTGGATGCAAACAATTGATATATACAAATTTTTTCGTTTTTTAGAACTGTCGCAGAGTTGATAATGACCGTTGCGAAAGAACTCTCATTAACTGGTGAAGAATATATGTGGATAATGACATCGATTGTACTCTGTAAGTATGCTGATATAGTTCAACTTTAGCGAGCAACAAAATACATTTTATATTATGTTATATTATTTCAGCTACGTATACGAGTGCGAGCGAAGGCAATCATAAAGTGTTACCATATGAGAGTCCAAACACAAGAAAAATGGAATTTCTACCGGGAATGCTAGGTTTGCTTAGATTGTGCGAGTATGCAAAATCATTACTCTTTCATTTATTACTTTATTTTTTAGCCTTATATACTGAGATGACTCGTAATGCTGTGTTAGCTCGTATCGATCGCCATATAGCGCCACTGATTATTAATGTTTTATCGAAACTTACTAATCATCCAGCAATAAAACAATGGAAAATTAATGGTTCGACACGTTATGAAACAGCTAGAGATTCATCGAAATGTATTAAATTATTTAAAGATATTCAAAGATCAGTTCATTCATTTCCAGAAATACACAAGTTAATTGCTTTACAAAGTACAGTTTATATACATAACATAGTTAATTATTTTAGATTGTTGATCGATGAATTTAAACGTGCACCAAGTATATTTCAAAAAGATGGTTTATCTCTAGCCGGAAACTATTCATTATATAATTTTCAAATGCCAAAAAAAGAATGGAAAAGAGTAAGATGGCAATTGTTTGTATTGTAAGAATCAAGTAAAATATGATTTTGTTTCAGGTTGGAGAATATATAAATGGATCATTATCAATTGCTGATTTGCAGTGGCCGGCAAATCGTTCAAAACCACCACCAGGCAAGTATTTTTATCTTATTGTAAAAACTGTGAAGAAAAATTAAATATTTGTTTTTTGTTTGTATAGGAAAACCAGTTATTTATTATTTAAAAGTGGTTACTTTAGAAGAGCGCCCGTTTGTCATGATGAAAGATCCATCTTTAGAAGGAAAATGTATGCCTGGATCTGTTATTTGTCGAATAGGACCAGAAAGTGTGTAAGTAATAGATTATAGATTTAATAAATATTTGCCAAAATATTTAACTTTATCATTTAGTCAAGCTAATTACAGTGATCCAAATAATTATCGTTGCTGTTCAGGTTTTTATATTGACATATTTAATGCATTAAAAGAACGATTAAAATTTGAATATGAATTATATCAAGTACCAGACAAAACTTGGGGTGCACGTGATCCTGTGAGTGTAGGTATTTTAATAGACTATACCAGTCGTACATAAACTTAAGAAAATCTATATTACATTTAGAATGAATGGAATGGTCTGATTGCTGAACTTGTTAAACATCGTGCTGATTTAGCATTAACATCATTAAAAGTAACAACAGAACGAAATAGTGCTGTTGATTTTAGTGTACCATTAATGGAAACGGGAATTGCATTGATTGTGGCAATGAGACCCGGAGCGATTTCAACTACTGCATTTTTAAGTATGACAAATTTATAATTACATATTACTTTTAATTAATTTATCTTCTACTTTTCTACTTGTTTAGAACCGTATGATTATCGAATATGGATACTCATTTTATTAGTATCACTACATGGTGTGGCAATCTCAGTTTATTCATTTGATTATTGTCAAAAAATATATACCGACATTCGAAAAGTAAAATAAAAAGAAATAGAAGTACGAATTATAACTAATCAAAGTTATATTTTAGCATAAAATAACGAAAGATAAAAGATTATTACTTAATTATTTTGTTGAAATTGTTCGTCCAACACATAAAGGTACACAAAGCACTTTCAAATTACAAACTAAGATTGACTAAACATTTGAGAATGACTCTAATTAGATTTTCTCTGTAATAAAATGTTTACATTTTAGAGGAAATAACGTTTTTTCAATCGGTTTGGTTAAGTTGGGTCATACTATTTAAGGTAAAACAACTTTTATTAAAGTAAAAAATTACTCATGTATTCATTAATAATTCAAAGGGTCCTGGAAAAGTTGTCTATCCAAAATGTTTTGCATCAAAATTTATTGTAAGTAAAGATGTTTAAAGATATGTCAAGTATACGCTTACCATACATGTTTTTATTCAGGGTAATATTTGGAGTTGTTTTTGTCTAGCATTTACTGCAAGTTATACAGCAAATTTGGGTATAGATTGAAAAAGTCTTTTATCTTGTAAAAAAAACTATTATTTTCCTATTTGATGTTGTTATAGCTGCATTTATGATAACAAAAGACGTTTACTTCGAACTAACTGGTATTAATGATGTTCGGGTAGGCAATATTTCTCTCCTTTTGAAATACAATTGAGATTCTATGATTATTTTTCTTTTTAGTTGTCAAATCCATGGACGATGAAACCCGCATTTCAATTTGGCACAGTTATCAACGGAGTTAGTAGTCTCAATTTGCTGTTACTTTTTACTAATATCTTATTGATTTTTAGAGTACAGATGAAGTGGTTAGAACAAATCATAAACAAATTTATTCGTACATGAAACCATTTATGAAACGAAATGTATCGGATGGTATCAAAGCTCTAAAATTAGGGTAAATTAGTATGATATCATAAAGATAACTTTATTTTAATTTATTATTTCTCCATTCTTTTTGTAGAAGTTTACATGCATTTTTGTACGACGCTGTTGTTCTCGACTATTTGAGTGGACAAGACAATGAATGTAAATTACGTGTTGTTGGAAATTGGTATGCTATGACTGGCTACGGTATCGGCTTTCCAAAAAAGTCTAAATTCAAAGATATGATTGATAAACAAATAATTGCATTACATGATTCAGGTAAGTCTATAATTCATTTGTATCAAAATAAAACATACATATGTATACGCAATCATTTATAGGCGAGATTGAAAGATTAAGACGATTTTGGTTTACGGGTGCATGTAAAACAAACGATGATCATCAGTCTCAGAGTAGTAGTCAAGCATTAGGTACACGCAATTTCATATCGGCATTTTTATTACTATCTGCTGGTACCGCTTTAGCAACAATTATATTATTATGTGAACATGGCTATTCAAGCTTTTTAAGCTCGAAAAAATCAAAATTTTTAAAATCAAAGTTTCAATATCAGCCATCCGTAAGTAAATGTAATTGTAAAACTTAAAAAAATTCTAAAACCTGTTGAATATACGAAAATATTCTAAGTAAACAGAGGTACAGAATCTACCCGTGTGCTCATATGGGCATATGTAGAGCAGTTTTAGAAGCTGTGGAAATTTTTGAATAAAAAATTCTCCAGCGCAAAATATGTGGAATTTTTCCACAAAAAGGAAGATTTAAGAAATTTTCACAAAATCAAAGGAGGAATGATGAACAGTGCATTATCAAAGTCTTTTTGAGCGTATGGATTTTTCTGCTCAAAGAATCGGTAATAAGTAAAAAGGTTTTAGAAAAAGATAAGAAATAAACCTATAAAAACCTTTTCTAAATTTCAAATGGGGAAATTTTTCAAAACCTTTACCGTTCGTGGAAAATTTTCAAACTCACGGGTACATTCTGCACCTCTGTAAATAAGACGTACGAGGGCATCTTCTTAGATGATTCGCGCCAATTTTGATGGAATATAGAGTTTTAGGGATTATTTTTAATGCTGACCACGAATCTGATACCATTTTCTGCTCATATGGCTTTCTAGTAAGGTAACCCTATCCTATTACGAAAGAGTAGAGTAAGGATACAAAATATTTTTATACGGTAGGATAGTGTGTATACAAAACTCATACCCTGCACACCTCTATCATAGTACTGCCCTATAGAAATCATGTCTCTGGAGATTTGATCTACATTTTCATATGAAGAGATTCTGAGTCATAGAGGAGATCGTGTTACCTACATGCAAAACTTTATGGATCCAACAAACAATTTTTCACCTAGTTATGCATACACCTAAAATCAGACTAATGGAGATTTTTCTTCCGAGAGAAAAATAATGAATCGATGAAAATTGTTCGTAAATTCCCAAAACTTTTTCACAAAGATAACTCGGTCTCCTTTATAAACTAGATAAATCAGAACCTTCGTATCTGGAAGTATAGATTAAGTCTTCAGAAAGAAGATTTCTATAGGACTGTACAAGCAAAAACGAACAATATCAGTATGAAACTTCTAAAAATCTATATTTTCATCAAAATTAACATGATTCATCTTAGAAGGTTCTCTCTTCAATTGTATCAACATCCGACACATAATTTTAATATTCTAAAAGATTATTTGAGCTCTATTTAGATCACTCGTACTTCGATAGAATCGGCTAATGAATATCAGCCAATGATTAATTCTCAAATGAATGATAATGATCGTTTTCAAACTATGAAAAAACGTGAATCATTTTTACTAACAAAAATTTCTGTATTAGAACAACAAATCAAAGAATTGGAAAAAAGAAATCAGTCTGACATGTATAAATTCATTACAAAAAATAATATGCCGATTGAACAGTTCATTAATTCTAATAATTTGTCTTTTTATAGGCAACTTCAACATTCAATGTCAAACTATATTCAATCGTCATCAAATGTTAAACTAAAACCTAAACTGGAAATTGAAAATGATGAAAAACAACTTCTATTACAAAGTTCATTTATTGATTCGTTTCAAACTACTAATGCTAACAATAATTCTAAAATTTCATCTGACAACACATATCTTGTATTACCGGTTCTTTATACACACGATCCGTTAACATCGTTTGAAATTGTCAGAACGCCTCAACAAATGATCACTTCTGAGAGTACTACATTAAGACCGGTATCAACAATTTATTCAGAGGATTTACCATCAAACAGAACTAGTAACGAATCATTCACTAGCCATAATATTGAACCTATGATACCTAGAATAACAGTATACGAAAGTGCTGTGTAATTTTCTTATATTTTTTTTAATTTTTATTCTGAATTCTCGAATGATTATTCTTCAGCATTCCACATCTTATATGAACACATTGCTAAGAGTTCTTACTTACAATCTTCTTCTTCTTCTTTCCAAGTTATTTATTTGACAACTTTGCACAAAAATGGTCATATCACAAAAAATTTGGTGAAAAAGAAAAAAACACTGCCAATTTAAACTTTTATCGTGCCATGAACATATTTCTTATTGAAGTTAGAAAAAGCGTAAGAAAAAATTAAACAAAGAGAACTATCATACACGCGTTACATAGTAACAAACTTGGTTTGAAGACGAATCATATAAACGGAAAAAAATATATAATTTTATTCGAGATATTTAGTAGCATCATTAGACTAACATTAAAGTACGAAAAGTGGTAACGTTGATTGTTGCTAAAAAACAAGTTTAAAAAGATACTCAGTCATATCTAGTGTAATAAAAATGAAAAATTCAATAGCTTACGCATATTTTTCTTTTTCTTTTTAACTGGACCAATCGCTTGCGTTTCAGTGGTTTCGAAGCCATCGTTTGCCTTACGTTTTTTAATGCCAAGCACTAGTATGAATAAAAGAAAATTGATTATTCTAGCTGTGAAAAGACTAGAATTCACTTACAATCACGTGTTTCAGTTAAATGGTTATAATCAAGATCGTATTGAGCACTTGTAACATTTTCATGAGTTGACATCAAACCAGCAGGTATTGCCATGTCTTCAATTATATCTGAAATCACGTGTAAATTGAGTAGTTAGAAGAAAATATATGCGTGAAAAATATGAATCTTTATACAACCATTCCAAAGAATTTTCTGTTATTATCCATTTGAAAAAAGAATGAACGTGAATGCTTTTTGAATGGTATCGAGTAACTAGTCAGAACGTCGAAGTTGGATAGAGTGGCAATGTTTAATTCTAAGAGAGAGGAGAGGAGAGGAGATGAAACCTGTTTTAATAAAAATGTCATTTTAGGCTGATTTTACCGATAATTAAAAGGTTTAAAATGTTCATAAATCATTCAGAATTAATTCAGACGACTTAAAAATTGCAGAATGTGATCAACACAGTGCCGTGTACGTGTTACTAATAGTAAAAAGACTAATAGCTTTCTCATTTTTAAAGTTACATTCGAATGAACTGGCTAAAAATAAAGCTTATGAAAGACGATTCATTCGTATTCGAAAGTTGAGTTGAGTCGTCTGAGTTAATTTTAAATGATTTATGAATGTTTTAGTTACCAGTGGTATCAGCCTAAAACTGAATAATCTCATCAAAGTAGACCCGACTTTTAGTCGTCAACTAGATCTTCAACCCGGCATTGTTATGATGCTCAACGTGGTCGTTTACATACGTGTTCACAGTTGATGATGTGGCATAATGGTAGGGTACTCACGCACAATGGAAAATTAAAGCAAAATTTTATTTTTCAACTTATTATACATCATTCGTGGGAGAGCATTTCCAGCTGATTAAGAAAATGTATTTTTTAATTTTAAAAGAAAAGTTTTGAGGATGAAAAATTGAAAAACTTGAAGGACCTAAAAAATCGAAAATCCTTCAAGTTCAAAATGAGCTCAATATGTGAGTTGCAGACAACTATACAAATTTCAAAATATTTTTTTCTTATTCAGCATTGAAAACTGAATGGAAAAATGGTGTTTGATCAATTTCGAAATTAAAAGCCAGTTCAGCATGGACATTTCAAACACATCCTCTAAAGCGTGGACAAGGTATTTCGTAAGCCTATCTAGTTTTCCGTGTTAAGGGCTGAAGTCGTCATTTGCACGTTATTAGATTCATGCTGAAAGCTTGGCTTCAAAAGTATGCCTCGCTATTTTTAAAATTTTGCTTCGTTGGTGAGAAAATTCATTTTTTCTAAATCACAGAAGAAATAGTTGGAATTCTGTCCGTAAATTCTCAATTTTCTCAATCAGAACTCAACTTTTGAGCAATACAAATATCATATTCCGAATCAGGATCAAAAACTGAGTCGAGGACTCCGTATTTCGAAATGTTTGGCTGATTTTCAGTTTGGAGTGAAAATCTCGGCAATTTTTCAATGTGAAAAGTCGAAAATTTCCTCGATTCAGTTTTTGATTCTGATTCGAGATATGATATTTGTATTGCTCAAAAGTTGAGTCGTCAAAAATTGAGAATTACGGGCAGAATTCGGACTATTTGTCCTCTGATTTAGAAAAAATGAATTTTCTCATCAACGAATTTTGCATTGTAGAAAAGAATAAAGATTTTTCTATTCGAAGTTGTTCAGATCAGAGTTAATTTTCCAAAGATCCTTTCAGAAATTCACTTCCACGCAAGATTTCGACTATTCGATTCGAAGACTATTTGGGTTTTGATCTTGACTATCAATTTGTGAAATTCTAGATCTCTATCTTTTTTCATTGAAAAAGTTTTCACTCTCAAACGGATAGAAGAGATACTTACAATTATCAACCATGGCCATATCTCTTATATACATTTGTTTTCTTGGTATAGCATATTCGTTACTATTATTATCGGTAGTTACTATATGTTGTACATCTTTTCTCTGATCATCATATGGTATCATATAAATATTTAATATTTCTATAAGTTTTTGACATTTTTCATGACTAATTTGTTTTAAATTATCGTCACCCATTAATTTGACTAGATCAATTAGATATTCTACAAACCATGGTCGTATATTTCGAATAAGTGTATTAAAAATTGTATTTAAATTGTATATACTTAATATTGATTCAGCTCGTGATGATGTTGATATTTCATTAATTATATGAAATATCCATCCAACACGTTGACGATTAATAATTGAATCTGAGTGTGGATCAATTGTTGATAAAAATCGTTTTATTAACATCATTGTTAAACCATTTTCAATACATAATTCAAAAACTGGTTTCCAAAATTTAATAACAACTAATGGAAGTAGTATGGATGAACCTAATTTTAGGAAAGAAACAAGAAGTTTAATAACGAACAAAAGTTAAAACAAACTATTTTCTACCTTTATCATAGTTCATTTTTTCTAATTGTATAGGTAACATCAAGAGTTTTCCACACTGTATCAAAATATCAGCAAATATTTCCCTATACAAAAAAAAGTATAATTATTTGAAGTTAAGAGAAACAATTCGATAATATCAACTTACTTGGCACCCGACATTTTCAATGCTTTTTCGATTTCTTCGATAACTCCTTCAAATTTTTCACGTCTTTTTTTCGTTCGATTTTGTACATACTAAACACGACAATAAATGATTATTGACATTTGAAGCGAATCATCGTGTAAAACAGGTAAAATAAAGATAGAAGAATGATGTATCTTACATCCATCTTGGAATCTACATAAGCATGCAATGTTTCTTTCGCTATTAGTACAAGCGTTTCAGAATAAGCACCATCAGTAAATAATGACATTTCATCAAATATTTCAGTAAAACAATTTTTCTGTAAATAGAAAAATAAACATTTTACTTTTACAACGGAAGAGTATTTCACAAATATCTCACCCTCAACCAAGTTTTTCCATAGTGAACAGCTTCAAGCAGATCTGATAAAGGTGGAAGATCACTATGTGCAATATCATGTCTTAAACTAATTAAATGACTAGGAATATCAACCTATGAAAAAAAAGAAATAATACACGAGTTCAAGTCATTATTAATAAAATTATTCTTGTTGATCGACGTACTTGTTTTGCAATATTTCTGTATGAAAGGCGTGCATTTTGTTTTCGATAACCAGTACTTATAGCATCAACAAATCTAAAGAAAACAAACAACAACAAGTCTATCCAAATACAAAAAATTCGTTCCATATGAATATCTCTTTTATATTATTTCTAAAGTCATAATACATTCAAGTAGAAAATGAGCATTTTTTCTACAGAATATAATAATTTTCTCACTATCATTTTTAAAATATAATAAACTTCGATGAAAAATGATAGAGACTCGCGACTTTTCGCAACCAATCGACAAGATTGGTATATGATTTTCCAAGCATTGATCTACGAGAAAATCCTATATCAATTACCATCAATTAAAAATTTCATATTTATTCATAGTTGATCCAAATGGTTTAGATTCTATTTTATAAACCAATGTTCCGTTCTTTTCGTCATGTAAAAATGAAAAGGATAAAAAGTCTAACAGAGGTATCGTTTTTGCTATTGTTGTTAGATTATTGTTTGTGAATGGCCGTTTAATGTCGAAATATCATAAAAGAATAAATATGATTAAAAATTTCAAAAACAGTTGCAATTATAATTCCTTATTGTCAAAGAGATCAGCTTTTTTTTACACATACGGTTGTCTAGAAAACCTTGCGAAAAATAAGTGTAGGTTTTGAAAATTTTCGAATGTTCAAGTCAACTGCTTATGTTCAGTATGAACACAATAATTGCAGGCAACAGTCAAAGTCATTTAGAATATTTAAGTGAGATATGAAGTTTTTAATTTTTGATAAAAACTAGCTAGAAATTGATATCTTTTATATAAGTAGACTCGACTACCTTGAAAAACAAGCATTGCTACAAGCCCTATGATTTCAAGGAACATGTCATAAGGAGTCTCTTATGGCGTCTGATTGATAACAGATGGCGACTGACCTAGGACTTATATAGGTTTTATAGAACAGTGTCTCGTACTTCGAATAGGAGTGCGTCATTTTTTTTCGTATTTTTTCAAAAACTCACAATAAATGGTTTGTATTTTCGTAAAAACGAGTTGCAACATTCTTTTAAAACGGCAGTTTTGCAGAGAAAACATTTCTCTACAAGACAGTATACAGAAAGTATTTTAGATGCTTTTTGTTCCTTTTAGAAAGCGTTTTCCTTAAACCTACAGTGGGTTAAAACCGTGAGTTATAACCGCGGTTTTTAACCGATATGCCTCTTTATAAAAAACACTTTTTAAAACCAAAAACTTTAAAATTAACTACTATATACCATCTTGTAGAGAAATATTTTCTCTACAAAACTGCCATTTTAAAAGAATGTTGCAACTCGTTTTTACGAAAATACAAACCATTTATTGTAAGTATTTGAAAAATGCGAAAAACAAACGATGCACTCCTAATTTCGAACCCATCTATTGGAATTAAAATCTAAAATGTGAAATAGAAGTCTTGTTCATCTTCACTCGCAAGGTACACCACCTATAGGCAGCTGTTGACTCTCGAATCTCTATAAATTTTCTATTAAAATTTATTTGAAAACATCAGAATCCGTTAGATTTCGAAATGGATGTTAGCAGTGTATCATTGAAAAGACATCGTATTAAACTTCAGTATTTTCGAATATTAATAATTACTTTAGAACAGCAACTGAACAAGCGTAATGCAATGCATTTTCATTAAAATTTGCTTGTTCTTGTTCTTCATGAATGATTTCACAATTCAAAATATGTTTCAAGGCATTTATAGGTGATGGTATTCGACAATTTCTAAAACGAAAAATGTTTTACATATAAGTGAATGATTGTCAATGGTTTTACCTACCTTGCTTCCCAAACTTTAATTTTATTTACTGCTTGCCGTTTATCGTTAATATTATCCGAGTAGGCAGATTCAACAAACGATCGAATGTCATTACTAAATAGAGTCATCGTAAAATGTTATGAAAAATAGTTGAATCGAACACAAGCACCAAAGAAACTAACTCATTTTGATATGGTATCAAAGATAATGTGACAACTGATGACGATGACATTTAAAATATATTCAAATCTGAATAGAACCAATTAAAAGCATTTTAAGTATTAGAATAAAGATTAGATATCGATATTGGAAAAAAAACAAATATTTAAACCGTTTTTCTCTTAGTCTCTCAATGTACTTCAACATGTTTGTCAATATTTTACGCAAGCTGGGTGAAGTTAATTTTAAAAGATAAATGTTATCGTATAACAAAAGATCGTGAACACCCAAAAAACAATACAAAGAAACAATGGATAAGAATGAAACAATGACTAATACTTTAAAACTACTAACAAAAAAAGCAAAGCTATTTTATTTAGATCACAATTATCAAGAAGCAAGAACGTCACTTTCTTCATTTGTTTTGAAATGCTGTCAAATAGTTCATGTACATACAAAAGAAAAAGAAAAGAAAAAGAAAATATGAAATGTTATCCTTAAAGGAGTAGGCAAGAGATTTTTGTTTTATCAATGATAAAACGAAATGCTACAAAAAGCTTAAAATTGTGAGTGGTCAAATTTTCCACTAGTCAAAAGTCAATAATTAAAACTACTCAAAAATTACATTAATGCGAAAAGAAAAGAGAGATACAATAATAGTTGTTCAGTTCATTTAAGAAATAGTTGATAATCCATTCGATAATTGATTGGGTAATTGAACAGTTTCGATGGTATAATGACGACGATAATTACCGATAATGTTACGTGTCTATAATATAAGTATTAAAAAAAATAAAAAAAACGATAAAATGACAATTAAAAGTGTAAGAATATCACTACCAACCAGAGTGCTAAAGAACGCTGATTCTGATTCTCTTTCAACATAAAGATCATACACATCAAGATCATCGTGTAGTTTAAGAGCCAAACTATCATAGTTATTACGAATTATTTCTAGAACCTAAACATTAAAAATCAAACTGAAAATGTAAATAATTTATTGATTAAAAATTGTTGTTTTACTTACTTGTTGTTCTGTCAATGGATTATTTTGATTATTTGATATTGTTTCAATTTTAGAATTAAAATGATGAGTAATCAATCTGTAAATATAAAAAAATAGAAATAAAAATAATTTAATGATTCATTCATCTCTCATCTATTTACTTTATATTTGTGAGATTGATCATCAGTTTAAGAGCTGATTCTTTAAATTCATTGTCATTGTTGGCATATCGACAAGCTAAAAATAACAACAAAATAAAATAATATTGTCTATTTACAACATAAAATGAAAACAAACCAAATGAAAATAGACTATCGAATACGTAAAACATTCGTATAATTTCATAATATAATTCATCATAAGCTTCTGGACTTCTTAAAAATGTATCACCAAATGTAATAAACAAGTTAAATATATTGATAACCTGAAATATTATATATTCAATCTAATTGTATCTCATAGAAATATATTTTTATTTGTATTACTTTTGAGGCAAAAACAAAAAGATCATGGTGTTTAAGTAATTGAGATTCACAATTTTGAATAAATTTTAGAAGACTGATTAGAGCTAGAGAAACAAAAACCGTAATAGAATAAATAAACTACTATTACAATTCATATATTACCGCTCCATAATGGTCTCCAAGAATAAGATAATCGTGTTTTTGTTCGCTTTTGAAATGAAAGTATTCGTTGAATAATACCAATACATTTTCTAAAAAATAAATAAAATAAATAAATCCATATATATATATATATAATATCAATAAATAGTACAGATAAATATTTACGTGAATAAATCAAATGGAAAATTTCTCATCATATGCGATAAGATAAATTCTGTCATTAAATCTAGTAGCCATACAGCAAGTGGACGTGATTTTGAATTTTTTTCTATGTTTATTTTACGATGACGCATTGGCTACAAAATTGACAAATAATAGAATTAAACAATAGGAAAAAATAAGAAACAATAATCTCACTAACAAGTTTTGTTTACAAAGCTCAGAAAAATAATTTTATCGTTCTCATTTATTCGATTCATTTATGAGTTGAACGATTAAAAAAAAACAAGAATTGTTTAGAAAATGTAAACATTTACGCCATTGTACACATCAGAGATGGGCGAAACGGGATTTTTGAACATCTGATTTCAGAACATTTTCGTTTCGGCTCGTATCATGAAAAAATTATCTACAGCCGTTTCGTGTAGAGAAAATTATCGTCATTCCATCTTCATCTGTCTATTTAACTAGGGATGTTCGGTACTCGGTTCCGGTGCTCGAGTTAGAACTGAAACGAAAGAAACCGCGGTTCCGGTTCCGGAATTAGAACAGAACCGTACTTCTCTGTCCTAAGCTTAGAACCGGAAAATAATTTTTCAAATAGTAACAATTCAACAGAATAGAATTCATTTTATAGTAAACGAAAGGATTCTTTTAAATGATGACAAGTAAATATATCTTTTTGTAGCTTTGTCAATAGTGTGTTTTCATCTTGTTAAAAGAAAGGCAAGTCAACAAGTCTCGATTCCAAAAAAAAAGAAACCGTCTAAGAAACCGCGGTTCTGATTTCCGATGGAGAACCGGAAATAAGAGAACCGAGATTCCGATTTCATTATCAGAACCGGTAGCGCGGTTCCGATTTCCAATTATAAACCAAAAATAGGAGAACCGTAATTCCGGTTCTTCACAAGAACCGAGAACCGAACATCCCTATATTTAACGCTTATCGCATCAAAGGTAGAAAAAAGAAATAGAAGTCTCTTTGGACTTCTGTAATCAATGTTTGAGATGTCATCACTTTCAAATGATGCACTAGAAAAGAGCGAATTTCATCTCGTCTCGTTAAACAGTTTGGAATGTTTCGTTTTTGTCTCGTCTACGAGGCCGTTTCGCTCATCTCTGATCCACACTCCTGATTCTCTACTCCAACTAGTTCGAACTTGAACATAAAATTCTTACCGCTTTATGTAGAAAAACGGTGAATGCCATATTTTCATCATGCATTGTAGAATTAGCAAATTCATCTTCTGTTATACAAAGTAATATTAAAAAACAAAGTTTTGTTGTTGTATACATATCTTCATCTAAATGTTAGAAACTTTTAACTATCTTAGAAACAATCGAAGTAAAATTCAATTTACTTTTAGAATATTGCATAGTAATGGAACAATATTCGAGAAAAACAGAAAGTAAATTATTTGGCGTAGAAAGTGGTTCAAAGTCTGACGAATCTTGTTGATCTTGTGCTAAAATAATATAGAGAATATAGCAAGAATGTATTTAATTTCATAGTAAACGAATGTCCATTACATATTAACGTAGTTGGAGTGATTATTGAAGGTGATAAATTATCTATATCCGGGGAAAGAGAAGACTGAGAAGCTAACTGATTTGTCCAGGTGGTTGATGCTGTCTAGAATTAAAATATACTATTGAACTTTTACAAAAAAATTATATATATATATTGCTTATTTTAGATGTTATTTACGTGTGTTAATGCGGATATGAAATTTCTGTTGAGGTGTACGGCTTCATAAAATGCCAATAATAGACAATCATTTATCCTACAATAGTACGACGTTAATGTATATTTAATAATATTGAGTAAATCATGTACTTTTTCACTCTTCGATTGTTTCCACTTGATTCGATAACTGTACCAACCTAGAACAACGACAATACATAATAGGATTTCATTCTTTTCCACATACTTTAACTTACAAAAGTTGTTAGAGAGTCCCACCAAGATGATGATTCATTTGCGTTTCGTTCCATGTCGTATGAGCTAGAAAAAATATATAATGAACATTTCCACGTTTGACTATAAAGAAAAACAATTTCTCTTGTGAAATATATAGGTCATGCTATTATGAAAGAGTCCCTCTTTTTTAGACCTTTAAAAAAACTATCGTTATTTTCCCCGTTCTGAGTTTGAACAGAGTGAAACAGCTGTTATTTTTCTTTATCCCTAAGAAAACAAAAACAAAGATAGAAATGTTTTGGATGAAAAACTCAATGAAAAGGTAGCCTTTTTCTAAGCGTGTTTTTATATCCTGAAAAAATACGTTTCCATTTTATTTTACTCAGTATGCATCAACATATAGTGATAAAATGACAAGGGATCGTTTAATCAAAAGTGAATTTTTCGAACAAAATCAAGTTGAATATTTCAACATACCGATTAAATTCATTTATTGACGACGCAATAATTTGTGCTAGTCCCTAAAATGAAAATAAATATAAACATAAGAGTGTTTGGACGATAAATAGTTTTATCACCTACTGTTAAAACAACTTCATCATCATAAATAGAAAAGCGTATGATGTAAGTGTTTGATATCTACAAAGAAGATTTGAAAGTATCAAAATCACACATATTTTCCATTAACATACGTCGTATTTATGATATTGTAATAATAACGTTAAAAATAAACAAATATCATAGCCGTGGAATGAACATAATACTGGACCACTCAGAAGCTAAAGAAAAAAGGAGAAGAATTTTATTTCAGTTAAAATAATTTTTTCAAGAAATATTCTAACATGTGTTATGGAATCAAATACGCTATTTGATATTAAATAATCCATTAGCATATTTTCATTTATATTCAACATTGTTGTTGACATTGACAATAATAAACCAAATGTTGCATTTCTCAGTATTGTACTACCAGAAATTGTTTCATCAATCATCAACGTATGATTTATTGATTCAATTAAACTCTAAAGAGAAAAAAAATTAGATAAACAATAGTTATCAAGAAAGAGATGCGTTTCTATTTACTTCAAATTTATTTTCCGCACAATCAAATCCACACAGTAAATCAACTGCTTGATAACCAAAACCATTACGCTGATTTCGACTTACAGCATTTATTAGAACAGTTAATGTCTGAAAAAAAAAATAACATTTATCATAAATTGTTGAAATTAATGAATGATACTTACATAATATGCATTTAACTGTCTTATTCTATTTGTTGATTTAATGTATAAAATACATTGATCAAATAACGTATTAAGTTGCGTCTAAATTTAAGATAAAGTGATGAATAACTTATTCGAATGAAATCTAAACATACTTTTAACATTGGATATTTGTCAACATGAACTTTTTCAATTTCATCTTGTAAATATTTGGCATTCACTTTTAATAGAAAAAAATCACACCAAAAATTTCCATTATCTAAATATGGTTGATCGCCCTATATACACAAGACAAATGAAAATAATTCTCTGAAGAAACATTTTGTCATGTAATTAATTACAGAAATTATAGCATCGTATAAAACAATAATCTTTTCTTTTAATTGAGTTTTAACAGGCCAAAACGATTTATCATTTGACATAGTTGCGTAACTTTATCTAAAAGAAGAAGAATACGCTTCTATTAAGCAAGAATATGAAGTTAGTGTCTCAACTATAAAAATATTCTCTTTATGAATACTGAAAAGCTTTATCACTTACGATGAACTTTCACGAGTTGTAATCGTCGGAATCGAGTACAATCTAACTAGGTTTTGTCAGAATACGTCCATACACAAATACAAGAGGATGAGAATAGAAAATGTTAAACACTGATTACCAAGAAAAGAAGGACGTTCCATTTTGTTTAATGTGAATGAAGATAAACGATGTGAAAGTTAATGAGACAGCTCAAGTGATGACTTTATTGTATTTTTTAGGCTAGAGTCTGCACTAGATCGTGTAGGATATGAGGTCTATCAAACACCGCTAAAGATTGAAAATGTTGTAATTCGCTCAAAAATCAAAATTTAACTTGTATAGAAAAAAGAAAAAAAAACTTCAGCATAAGGTTTCACAATCAATGCATTTTTTTCAGTTTTTTGTTGTAACGTAAAGATTTGCTTCTGGCGTATATTGCAAATATGAGCACCTCTGAAAGTGTGACAAAGCACATTTTTACTGTAAGAGTTCTTTAAAAACAAAAGTGTTTTTTTATTCTACCTCATCGTTAGAACGATCTAACTTACACACAACGATCTATCAACACGTTTTTAGGTGTTGATTTTCAATCAAAAGGTCTATTGAAGATAGTTTTTGATAGAAAAGCGACGGATGTGTACATTCAACTGTTGACTATCTTTCCGTGTTTAAAAAACGAAACGTAGTGTCTTTTGTAGAAAGTTTTTAAGTAAAATAATAATGTCAAGTTCCTGTTTTCTCAATCTTTTCTTTTTAGCATTGATTTAATGTCTGATCACTGTCTCTTCAACAGGATAATATGTTTTTATCTTTCACTATAAATACGTGCTGATTTATACTGTTATTTGATGCATTTGCTCGATCAAAAAACCTCTTTGCTTGTATAAAATAGAATTTGTTTTACTTTTGCTTATTTATTTTAATAAATGAAACCTTTTTTTCGTATGAAGTTTTGATTACTAAATACTACCTGGTTCTACTTTTGCATGTAATAATGATTTTTTCTAATCATACAAAGGTGTTTAGCAAGAGTTTAGTTTTGAACTGCAACAGTTGCTTTTTTTGTATATAAGTGATCTATCGGACTCAATAGAGCAGAAATAAAGTGACTTAGCTAGATAGCTAGAGATTATTCGCTCACTTATGATTATTTGTGATACGGTCCCTGGACATCGTATCGCAAAAAGTTTTAAATAGTTCATCTGTGACCTCATTTTACACTTAAGAAAACTTTTCAGAAAACTGACATCAAAAAGTGTGAGTGATTCACACTTGCCCTTCAGTTTTTGTCTAAAACGTTATCAGTTATTCTACTTGTCTTGAAAATTCCAGTGTATCTGAAGTTTTCACCTTCAGCTAATTTTTATCATGCTTTTCTTCTATCTGATCTGTTGTTTTGTGTACAGAAAAAAACAGCTCGAAGCTTGTTCTTTATGTGTCCCCCAACTTTTTCTCTTTGAGATTAGGTAGACTACTCCTGCTATAAACACTGTGCCTCTGAAGTAGAGAAAAATAGTTGAATTTTACAAAATAAGCAGAATTTAAGTTAATTTTTGTTTATTGATAAACATAAACTGCACTTAATCGTTTGATTCAAACGAAAAAGTATAGTAAATTAGGCTATATCATACTTTTACTGTAGCACTTATTAACAGAAGAAATATAACATTGCTACGATTTCGGTCTCAAAATCCAATCCAATAAAAAAGCGATGTTACCGTTGTATCGTTAAAAGTTAGCATGCGGATAGCCTAAAGCGATGATAAAAACGTGGCGTCGACATGGTAGTGAAGGCTAAACTTTGGTGCCATCAATTCCGAGCGTAAAGTTTCGATGGTATTAGGGTAGATTTAGTGTATTATACTAGTGTCGAGTGCGAGTGAAAAAAAGTCAATGTAATATATTACAAATTTTCATTTGTCGAAAACATAAGCGTATAGAAAAGTAATCAGATCCACTACACAAAATTTACGATTATGCGTCTCGATTTTAAGTTATTGTGATATGTATTTGACGCAAAGAGAAGCAATTGGGAATATCACGCTTAAGGATAAGCTTCAATTTGATTGTATTTTCCAAGACACGCACTACAGGACTTAAACCGAAAGTTTATTGGTATAAAATTTGTCCAAATCGAAGATCATTTCACTCTCTCCCCAGCGGCATAAATCGAGTATGAGGGATTATATAGTTGCGTTTCTTTCCTCATTTGTATTGCATTAATAATCCATATGTTCTGATTTAAGATTATTAACAAGCATATCACGCATAAAACTGTGAATTTGGCATCGTTTTAGAAATTCGTGACTATTAATTCTCAGCTCTCAACATAGAGAGAAAGAATATCGTTATCGGCTCAAGTAGATGCAATAAAAATTGAGTTCTCGATAAACAAGAATCGAATAGTATTTGTGTATTTCAGAAAGAAGATGCGTCTTAATTGAAATTTCCTAAAGAATTTGCCAATTATGAGCCAATGATGATCTGAAGTTTGAATGATGTTAGAAAATCGACGACAACAAAAGAGCAATCAAGTGTGATTGATGACATGGAAGACGAAGATGAGAAAACAACAACGTTATGTAAAGCATTCAATGATACAATGACCTATTGAGGACGTTTTAGTAAATTTAGAAAAAGAAGCAATTGAAAATTGTAAAAAATAAATTATTGTCATAATTCAAAATTCAATCCAATTACATAAGTTTAAAGCAACATTATTAACGCATTTGTGCCCATCGAGGCTGAAATAATAATATCAAGTTTGAAATAAAATTTAGAATTATAGAATTATAGTCCGTTGTTGAGATGTTGTTTCACTATTTAATCTAGAAGTTGAATATTTTATTTTGTATAGTAATAATTTTTTGTTAATAAATTTATTTGAACTATAAAGAAGAGCATCATCCTACATTATTTTTATAGTTTGTATCCAATATTTTATTTCTGTTTCAGATTTTAACATTTGATTTTGTTCATTTTTATTTTCTAACCACTATTTAAATGACTGTCTTGTTCAACCGGTTTTATTCTATAATGCTATTAAATTAGAATATGAACAATCTAGACGGGGGAGAAGCGAATATAGCTATTCAATATCAACCCGAAACAACAATCTCATCTGGACCCGTAAATACAGTGGATCCACAAAGACCGTTGTACACGGTGCCAGGAATATTACATTTCCTACAGCATGAATGGACACGTTTTGAAATAGAGCATCAACAATGGGAAACAGAGCGAGCCGAATTACTAGTAAGATGATCACAAAAACCAAGAATTCATTGAGGTTTGTTTTCAAATTTTTCTGTCTTTTTTTTACTTCTTTAGGCTCGTATTGCATTTCTACAAGGAGAAAGACAGGGGCAAGAGAATCTGAAAAGTGCACTGGTGAAACGCATTAAAATGCTTGAATATGCACTCAAACAAGAAAGGTAGAAACGAAATTCAATCTTTATTTATATATTACTTTTATATTCTTTTCATATTTTATAGATTGAAATTTAACAAATTGAAGTATGGTACAGATAATGCACCAATTGAAGATCCAAAATTCAATACACCAGAAAATCATATGGATGATGGTAAATTTTATATTCTATCAGTTAATTTTATACATTTACCATTCAGTTTTAAAAATAGTATTAAAATCTAATTTTTCCCCACAAATGTTTTTTATATATTTGCCAATCATTAAATCTATTTGCATTTTTTTTTAAGATGATTTAAAAGAAGATACCAGTCTCTCGTTTGGTGGAAGTAGTGTCTCTTTTAAACAAGGACGACAATTACTTAGACAGTACGTAAAAATTAATAAATAAAAAAATATTTTAAATATTTGTATCCTCTCTCTTTTAGATATTTGAAAGAAATTGGCTATGTCGACACAATTATCGATATACGTTCAACAGCTGTCAAAAAATTACTTGGAATTAAATCTGATAATGATTTAAATCCAAATGTTGTTAATAATAACAATACTGGAATGTCTGGTGGTGGAATAAATGGTGATTTAAAATCATCATATGAACCAAAAAGGTAACTTTAGTACAAAGAATAGTTTTTACTCTGATACAACGGCTATGACGATATTTTTCATTAAGAGTTATACCAGGAATTATTAAGAATGCTGCGAATGAGCTTGGTAAATCTGTATTAGCTTCGCTGGTATTTTTGAAAGATGAACAACCAGATGGTCAAGATGATGATTCAAGGTAAATACTCGAACATAGAAAGAAACGATTATTTTATTATTTTTTTTGTTTTTTGATGAATATTTTTAGTGACGATGATCTTGATACAAATCGTATAATTGTCAAAAGTAACAATACAAATATGTCGAATAATATTTTGAGTGCAAATAATAATAATAACAATAATCATCACAATCAATATCATGGCGTAGATTCATTAAATGATTTGGATAGTGAAGAAGCAGCATTACAAGAATTTGATTTTCTTGTTGATCCATCATCGAATGTTTTGGGTAATGTGGGATTTAATGAATTAAAAACGCATAATACAAGTGGTAATGAATGGGATGTTGATCAATCACGTTTGAATAGATTGAAAGAAGAATATAAACGTGATCGTATTGGAAAAAAACTTCATCATCATCAAACTTCATCTCTTCGTAATACATTACTTAATATGGGAAATAATGATAATGGTAATGATGATACATCGAATGATCCACGTTCGTATTCTGATGATGAACAAAGTAAGTAATACTTTGTAATACAATGTATATAGGAGTTAACATATCGTTGAATAAAAATATTGATAAAATCCCGTCTTAATACTAATTTTTTATCAATTGAAAGGATTTACATATTATTTAACTAGTGAGATACCATTGAGTCAGTGTTAGTCCCTTATCTATACCTTTTTGTCTAATGATCAAAAAATAATTAAAGCTTGAGTAACACACAGATCGTCTTTATACTGTTGAAAAACGTTTTTATTATCGGACCTTAATTTTATTTTGTTATTTTGATAAATCAGAACTAAATCAGAATATAATTTCATTATATAATGCGTATAGATTAGATTGAGAAATGTCAACAAATTTTCCAATGTCATCTGAACTATTTTATATGGATCACAAGGCATCTGTCATAAGATATAATTCTTTTCAATATTGGCTAGATTTGTTATTAATCATTTAATTTCAAACGACATCGATTAAAATACTGTTACTAAATTAGAACATTTAGTTATCAATTGACGCATTATTTCAGATAGAAATGAGATCTTGCCATTTCATCTTTCAATCCCTTCTCTTCTTGATATATAAATGAAGAGATTTGTCCGATCTTCATATTTTGTGCAAATTACATTATATATAATTATTCCAGATTAAAAACAGGAGAAAAATCATATAAATACTAAACAATTTTTCATGCATTAAGTAAGAATTACTACTCAAATTAAAAGGCATTAGTTAAAACTAGGATAGATAGTGAAAGATAAATGTAACCTTTCAATATTAAATAATCAATAATATATTTTTTTAATCAGTTTTATTATTATGATGATTGATATATTAGAAAAGTTACAGTGGTGTTATTCACTGTTTATATGAAATGTTCGATACATATTTCCAAATGAAAAGATGACGTTTTTCTTGTTTTCTAGTGAACCGTGAAATGGTTGATTCAATGATGTTTCGTAATAGTAAAAATTTTATGGAAGATAATACTATGGAGAGTCTCGATGAATTAGCTCGTGTCACTGTTCAAAATGATAATGAACCACTTTATGATGTAAAAAACAAGAAATTGTTTATTAGTATAACTTTAAAATTAATCATATTTTCTATTTATTTAGACAACGACGGATTCCGTGGATTTTAGAAAGACATGGAATGTTAAATTTGTATTACGAAGGTAAAGCTTAATGTGATTCTAAAAATTAGCATATACATATGATTAATTTATTTTAAGTCATTTGGATGGCGTACGCTGTGTAGCATTTCATCCAGTAGAATCTGTTGTTGTGACTGGTTCAGAAGATCGTACATTAAAATTATGGAATTTAGAAAAATCGACTACAATGAGAAAGTAAAAGGATAACTTGTAATGAGAGGATTTGACTATTCTCCATTTTTATTATCTTGTTATTTAGATCTACATCAGCAACTCAAGATCTAGAACCAATTTATACATTTCGACGTCATTCGTAAGTTTTCACTCTCTGATAGCACTAGCAAAAATTCTACAGTTATTCAGACTGAGTCCTAATAGTCAGAGACCTGAATTTTGGGGGGGTATGGGGGGGGGGGGGGGGCCCCCCCCAAAATTTTAAAGGACCGTTAAAAGGTTATTAGGGGGGAACGTGGGAAAAAAAGGGGTTTAACCCCCCGCAAAAGGG